TTATTTACATACAATAACAACTTACAGAATAGACAAAACACAAAACAGTGAACATTTTACAAACACATAACCCCACCACCAAGGCCTGAACATGTATAATTTCCTTCACCATGTATTCATAAAGCAACCCTTAATCAAATGTCATCTCCAAAATTCCTGACCAACCAAATTCTGTTGTTTTCCATTTTCGCTCTCTAAGACATATTTAATAAAGACTGACCAGTATGCCTCAAAATCTGACCTGTTAATTTCCCCCCTGAATACCCTCATTTCCATTGTTAGTTTGTCATTTAAAGCTACATTCCAAACTTCCCTGTACCATGCGTCCAGTGTTAGATTAGTTATTATTTTCCAGTTCTTTGCTATTATAATTCTTCCCACTGTGAGCAAAATAGTCACCAATTCTTTCTTTCTTGTTTCTACATTCAGCTTCGTGGTATCCATTAATAGTGCAACCCTAGCATCCGGCGTAATATTTGATCCTATAATGTTGTTTATTTCAGTAAATATATCCTTCCAAAAATTCTTCACTTGGGGGCATTCCCACCATAAATGAAAATATGTCCCTTTGTGTTTGCCACATCTCCAGCAGAGGTTACTTTGCTTACTATCCATCTGATGTTGTTTGACTGGCGTGGTATACCATCTCCATATCACTTTGTATACATTTTCTTTTAATCTTATTGATAGGTTCTTAGCCACTCTCCACTTCAGGACCCTTTTCCAATCAAAATCTATCAGAGGCCCTATGTCTCTCTCCCATACGTTTTCTAACATCTTCAGCCCTATTTCTTCGCCAATTAATCCATTATATATTTTCCCGATTAATCCTTTCCACTTAAAATCCGGTTTCTGCCTCCTGCAAAATTCTGCTGTTTGTAGTTTAGGGAGGAGCCTTGAACAGCCTCACTAAACTAAAAATCCCAGAATTCTGCAGGAGGCAGAAACCAGATTTAAAGTGGATTCATTCTCTACTGTGATATATCAGTGTTTCTCAAACTCTGCTCCCCCGGGTGTTTTGGACTTCAGCTCCCAGAAATCCCAGCCAGTTTACCATCTGTTAGGAATTGTGGGAGTTGAAGTCCAAAACATCTGGAGGAGCACCGTTTGAGAAATTCTGCTTTAGATGTTTTTGGCCAAGAAGTACAGCTCACTGTTGACTATGCTGACTAGAGCTAATAAGAAGAGTTGTAGTTCAACAACAATTAGAGGGCCTGTTCTTGCTTTAAATGGTGCATGTAAAAATAACCTGAGAAAAATTTCAGAGTTACTTGTTATTCATGTGTATATTCTCTCACAGTTCAGGTAGTTTTCTTAATATTTTACAGAACTTAAACCTACCTTCCTTTGACTTAAGCCTTTTAAGCTGATCATCTCCCCTTCCATCTTGCAGAGAGAGTAGTGATGTTTGTCATCATTAGGCAGTCTCTTAAATATTTGAAGAATCTTATCAAATCTCTCTTTTTATCTTTCTCTTTTTGCCACCCTTCACAAACCACAACCAGTCCAGTTGTGCTTTAACTTTTTTTTATTGATTTATGAAGGGTTATATCTTCACATTGGCCCCCCACAAAGAAATTCAAAAGTTCAAAAACCACAAAAGGGCAGTGTGTTCATCAGGACTAAGCAAAATGGCACAAAATAGGGGACACAATGTTACATCCACCGGAATATTTATTCAGATTGTGGTGGAAGAGAGAACAAATATTTCTGACCACAGCAAAAGTAAAACTTCAGCTTGTCATTTTGATTAATGACATGGATGAGATTTAAAGTGCAATTAAAGTGCTACTCTATGGCTTGAATCAGGCCCGTAGCCAGGATTTCACTTGGGGGGGGGGGGCTTAATTTTTTTCAGGGGGGTTGGGGAGGGGCTGAGTTTCAGGGGGGGGGGCTGAGTCTGAGTGAAAGAGGGTCTAGCCTAGCAAACCTTTTGTATCATTACCCCAATACCCCCATGCATATGGGATATATTGAATATGGTGATCAGATCATGATATGAATAAACATAACAGTTTAAATAATGCACCAGTAAGGTCTTTTTGCAAACCACCATGAGAATTTGGGGGGGGGGGGCTGAAGCCTCTCAAGCCCCCCTCCCCCCCGGCTACATGCCTGGCTTGAATCATATTTGGAGTTGCCAGATCTCAGGCTTGGCCCTTGGAGGGAATTCCACAGACAGGGGGGCATTGTTTAGAAGGCCCTGTGTCTTTTCTCCACCAATTGTGTTTGCGACAGCAGTGGGATCGAGAGAAGGATCTCTCCAGATGATCTTAAACTTTGTGATGATTTGTAGCAGGAGATATGTTCAGATATATAGTCTGGGCCAGAACCATTTAAAGCTCTAAAGGTTAAAACCAGCACTATGAATTGTGCTGGTAGCAGATCGGCAGCCACTGGAGCTGGCGAAACAGAGGGGTTGTATGCTCCCTGTACGTCGCTCCAGTGAGCAACCTGGCTGCTGACCATTGGACTAACTGAAGCTTCCGAGCAGTCTTCAAAGGCAGCCCCATGTAGCTAAAAGGTATAAGCTGAGTGTCCCTTATTTGGAATTCTGAAAACCAAAATCCACATGGGTGGTTGCAATGGTAACACCTTTGCTTTCTGATGGTACATAAACTTTGTTTAATGCACAAAATCATTTTAAAATATTGTGTAGAAAATTATCTTCAGACTATGTATACCAGGTATATATGAACCATAAATGAATTTCATGTTTAGACTATGGTCCCATCTCCAAAATATCTCATTATGTATATTCAGGTGTCCCAAAATCAAAAAACAAACAAACAAACAAAGATTTTTTAAAAAATCTGAAATGTGTAATACTTCTGATCCTTTACATTTTGGGCAAGGGATGATCAACTTTTTAAAATAATCAGGGCCCTTTTCCTGTGGTATAACATCATTCCTATGTCTCAGGACTTGGGATAGTCTTGATCAAACAACTCTCTCTAATTAGCCTCAACTAAAGAACCCCAATCCCCCCCCCCCCCAACTTGAATCAATTGTTAAATGATGATTCTACACAGAGGTAGAATCATTTGTTCAGAGAGTCTCTTAGAGCAACAGTAAGATTTACCTGGACATAAGCCCRCCTGTCTCCAGTGAGCTTTCTTCCTCACTAAAGCTAAATCTGTTGATAGAATCTTGATATTGGGTTTCTCTGACAGACTGCCATTGGCAAGATTGGAAACAAGGATTGTAATTCAACTATCCTGCCTCTCAGGGGTGTTGTGAAGAGAAAATGGCAGAGTTTATGTCACCATGATTTTTTTTTTTTGGAGGAAAGGAATATAATTTGTAATTTCAATATAATATAAAGTAATAATGTAATATAAAAGTAGCACAGTTAGTAATGTATTTTTTAAAAAAGAAAAATAATCTTCTTTTAGACATTTGTAATGCTTTGTATGTGGGCATGTGTAATGCTGGATGGCACAGTGGGTTAAACTGCTGAGCTGCTGAATTTGCTGACTGAACGGTCAGCGCTTCAAATCCGGGGAGTGGGGTGAGCTCCTGTTGTTAACCCCAGCTTCTGCCAACCCAGCAATTTGAAAAAAAATGCAAATGTGAGTAGATCAATAGGTACTGTGGGAAGGTAACAGTGTTCCATGCAATCATGCTGGCCGCATGACTTTGGAGATATCTACGGACAACGCCGGCTCTTTGGCTTAGAAATTGAGATGGACACCCCCAGAGTCAGATACGACTGGACTTAATGTCAGGGGAAAACCTCTACCTATTATTATTATTATTATTATTATTATTATTATTATTATTATTATTGGTTTATAGATCAAGTCTCATGGTTGTTTTTTTTGTCCAGGAATAGTTATGCTGCTTGACAGATGTTGCAGTCCAATAGCACCTTTCACTGCATAATTATAGCACTGTGATTCCACTTTAACTGTCATGGCTCCATCCAATGGAGTCCTGGTACCTGCTGTTTCATGAAGCCTTACAGCTCCCAGGCTGATCAATTTTACACATGCCACCTTAAACTACAAATCTCTGTATCTGGATGTTGCCATGGTCGTAAAAAGCAAATCCTTTTGCTACCTTTCTGTAATGGGCCCTGTATTTTCCATACCTGTTTTAACTGATGTCATGTTCAATTCCAAGTAATTACAATCCCTTCTAGAGTATTATGTCATCTCCAAATTCACTTCCACATTCGATAAAACCCACAACAAAAATCCATGTAGAACAGGACTTCTCCTTAGCACTTTCCTGTCTGCCATTAAGGAGTATAAATGCTACACACTGGAGTATCACTTATCCATGTTCTGTATTATCCAATGGAGTCTGCGTCCCACTTGGATCCACAGCTGTTTCAATACATTGCGATGTTTGGTGCTAAATGTGTAAATACAGTAATTACTACATAATGTTACCATGCATTGAACTGCTTTTTGTTGATTTTTTGTAAAACATGATATTTTGGTGTTTAATTTATAAAATCATAATGTAATTTGACATTTAATTGGCTTTTCCTCAATCCCTCCTTATTATCCAACATTTTTGCTTATCCAACATTGGATCACCGAAACTCTACTGTAATGAATTCTTCTATTCACTACATTTCCCCCTTTTCCTTTATCCTTTGGAAAACCTATGGAGAATGTTTTCTGTGTTCTAAATTTAGTGGTGAGAATTGTAGTTGAACAATGTTAGTTGGACATCATCAAAGGATTTGTTTTTTTAATGTTTCCATTCTGAGAACTTTCATAGATTTATTTCAGTCTGTTCTTTCTTCTTCATTGTGTACTCAAGCCCTTGAGGCAGTACAAAAGGTTCAGTTCTTCATCTTTCCTGTGTCAAATCATTAAACTCCTCTCCTTTTTTCTCTATGAAGCCAAAACCACAGTACTGCAAACACCATGCAAAAAGGTTAATGCCTGGGCAAAGAGGAAGCAGGTAAAATAATGCTATTTCTACTTGAGTTGCTAAAGTGGCTTGATTTGCATAGCCTCTTGCGAATGGCAGGCCTCCAATTAGTGGGTTTGATCATCTACCATGCTCACTCCCAAGCAGGGAGGAGTGCCGAAACGCACCTTGCATCTTCAGCTTCCACAATTTGCCTTCTTGCATTCCTCAGGGAGGACGAAATACACTCTTCTGTTTGCAGCAAACAGCTCAGGGTGCTGCAGATCAACAAATCCCACCAATATCCCACACTGCCAACATGAAATCGCTTTCGATCGTTACCTTTTGCTTCTTGGTTATTTTGGAACCGGCTAACTGTCAAATAGGTAATAGATTTCTTTTTTACTTGCCTACTTGGCTTAATTATTGATATATTTTGTAATCCATGTCTTTTCCATGGTTTGCTTGAGCATTTCCTTTGATGCTGATTCTTAATCTAGAGAAAAGTTGGGATATAAATAAATGCAATAACAATAATGACAGCAACTATGTAGTAAATAATTATATTCTCTGCTGCTTTGTATCCTAGCTTGTTTAGTTTTCTGAAATCAAAAAAGTCAAATTTCATAAAAAAAAAATAATCTTACCAAAATGTCTCTTGATGCTTTGTTGTGTGCCTTCAAGTCATTTCTGACTTATGATGACCCTAAGGGGAAACTTATCATGGTGTTTTCTTGGCAAGATTTGTCCAAAAGAGGTTGGTTGCCTTTGTCTTCCTCTGAAGCTGAGAGAATGTGACTTGGAAACGCTTTTGCCTGGCAAGCCATAATTTTCAGGCAGGCATGAGGGGTCTCTATCAGCAGACCCCCAAAGTGGTTCTGATCAGACCTCACAACATCTGAGGATGCCTGAAATAGATGCAGGAGAAACGTCAAGTGAGAATGCTTTGAGAACATGGCCATATAGCTCGAAAAACCTACAACTACCAAGTGGTTCTGATCTACTATGACCTTAGGAAGGGATCCTTAAACATTAAGGCATGGGTGAAAGTGCATGGTATGACTGCTTCCTGAGGTTAAGCAATGTTGGGCCACATTATCCCCGAACAGGAGATATCCAAGTACCAAGGATTTGATTCAGACTCTGATTTGGGGATTTTGAAGATCAGCTTAGTTTTCACTTGAAGGGTTGCTGTTTCAGTCAGGACCCTTAAAAAACATCATTGTATCTCTCACTAACATTAATTGGAGATCAAGAAATTGTCTTATAATAACCGTATTTCATTGCACAATAGTCGCCACTGCATAATAGCCGTACCCACTTTTGGGCAAGACAAAATGGGACTTTTTTCACTGTGTAATAGTAGACAACACACAATAGTTGCACCCCTTTCCCTCCCCCCCAAATTGGGGGGGGGGGGTTTAATGGTGTTTTTGAGTATTATGCAATGAAATATGGTAATTTCAGTTCCCAAATTCTTAGCATTATAGAGAGTGAAATACTGAAAATTGTTCACACCAAGAACTCTTATATTTCCTGTGTTTACATTCCCTTGGTTACTTTGCCATCCACTTTTCTTTGATACTTCAATTGTATTTCAAAATCTTCAAGTGGAATTTCAAGCTACTGCAGTAATATTGGGCAATATCAGCTTTAATTAGGTTATTTCCTTTTTTTAAAAAATGGTATCTGCAAGAAAGAAAATTAAAACAACTATCATCTTTGTACTAATAGTATGTTACTGAGTCCAAATATCTCTCTAATTGAAAACACTCATAACAACTAATATTAAAGTCTCTAAATCTAAACTCTATAGTTACATGGTATCAACACACAACAAAAGACATGACTGTGTTATGTGTCATATGGTACATTATGACCAATTTTCAAAATTCCTGAGCAATATTTTAAAAGCTGTTTCTTATAGTTCTGCATGATGGTTTTCTGAAAACCATCATGTTTCACTTAGGTAATAGGGGCTGTTCCAGAGAAGGTAATATCTCTAAACATTAACTTCAGATATGTCTAAAGAGGGACTAAACAGCTAGGAAGAAATCACGTAGCCAAAAGCTGTCTGTGGACATGGTCACAATCCCTGCAATAGGCATTTCCAAAGAGGACATTCCCATGTTGTTAGATGTAAGATTTAGCACCGAACTGGAAATGCAGGAAGTTTTATCACTGCAGAGAGTTACAAGACGGCACAGGTTTTCTTTCAATAATCTGTGGTTAGCCAGAGCTATGCCAACCACGCTGTCCTGGCAGGGTCCCAGTTTCCTCTTTGAGAAAGTTCAGAACAGATTCTGAAGTAACTATGTCTAGCACTGGAATGAATTCTACTATATGTGTCAGAGGATAATTGAAAAATGTGTACCAGTTATGGTTTAGTATCCTATTTAGGTCCTACTTATTAAGACAATCATGTTGCTACTTGTTTGATTTTTTAAAATTAAAATCATTAGGCCTTAACATGCTACACTGTTATAGTGCTGTTATTCCACATTAACTGCCATGGGAAACTACAAACACTAGAATTCCACAAAATGTTGTCATGGCAATTAAGCTGAAATGATAACGTTGTAAGAGTTTAGTGTGATAGGGTTGTCTGATGTGCTGTATTAAGCTACTAAATGTGATGCCCTATTTTATGTATCTTGCTAAAGACATGAAATATGATTGCATTAGATTAGTCTCCACTCTCCAAGAGTTTCAAACCAATTTGAAGACTTGGCTCTTCAAACAGGCCTTTGACCTTGTTTAGGAATCTTTACTGACTATATTTGAAGATTAGTGTTATTTCACCTCATACTTTATGGACTGATACTGATTGCAATTTGTTTAGATCTGCAGCTACAGTGCATTTTATTGATTTTTTAACTAGTGGGATTTCATTATTTTATGTGGTTGTTATTGTTATTGTGCATTTATTGTATTGTTAATGCATTTATTGTATTTTATGTGTTTGCACCTTGAGTGATTTTGGGAGTCACCACGAGTCCCTCCAGGGAGATGGTGGCCTGGTATAAATAAAGTATTATTATTATTATTATTATCATTTTCTTTTCTTTCTTTTTTATTTTATTGTTTTACCCCACTCCCACACTCCACCCTTTCCCCTTAAAACATACTCTTTTTACCATAAACAACAGAAATTACATTTGAAATATCAGTCTTAATCTCAGTTTTTCCTCTCCACATCTTAATACATGCTCTATGTAATTCCTAACTGGATTCCACATACTCCTAATTATTATAATATTTTCTGTTTTCTATATTGTTCAATTTACAATTTGTTATTTCCACATTTAACATATTTAAAATTGGCATAATTATATAGTTAATATGTTAAATGTGGATTGTATTTTTTTTAAATCACTTTTTCCTCTGATTCCCTTTCCTCATTGTTATCAAGGAGTCAATCCCTGGAATATGTCATTATCTTAACTTTCTTTACTTATTGCAGCATTTACTCTTGTAGCTATGTGTTAATATATAACTCTTTCAGCATAGTTGAATGCAACATGCAACTTAGAACAGTAGAAAAATCTGAGTGGTCGCTCCCTATGAGTTTGTGACTGGAGAATAGTCTCAGCCTTTCATGGAAATGTTTCCTAGAGATAGACACTAGATGTCTTACAAAATGCATGTCAACCCATCAGCATGCCTGATTTCCTTCATTCATTACGTCAGGGTAAAAGTGATGTATCCAGATGAGCTAATTTTCAAGTTAGACACTATTATCCTACAAATGGCAACCCATAAATTTTATGTTGATGGGTTATTCACTTTTTGCACAATAGGTCTGTTGGCAGAAGATCAATGCCAGATTAAAGGTGATACATATGAACACTCTCAAAAAATTAGAAAAATAATGTAAATGCCAGCAAAAGGAGAAATCAACTTAATTTGGAGGGAGCATTGCTCTTTTTCCTCCTTTGTATTAGTTTCATTAAGCTTTTAATATCAAAGAACCAGTAGAAGTGGAAGTACATAATGAAACACTTCAAGTCCAATACAAGCTGATGATTCAATTTCCATGTTAGGTCATTCCCAGGTGGAATCAAAAGAATAGGTCATTTTGCACATTTTGGAAACAATTATCACCCTTCTGGTGGTGTAGATGGGTCACACTTATAGACATGTTGCTTAAATATGTTAATGCATTTGATGTGAGGTTACTTCCTTTTAGTAATAGCAATGCTGGGAAAGGCCCATAAGGACTGGAGCTGTGTGGCAGGGCGTTTATTAAAACTCTTTGCATCATAAAAAAAAACTTGACCATGTTTCTCCCTCTGAAGTTATTAAAGGGGGGCAGGTTCCAATACAAAAGGCAACTGGAAAAGAAGTTGGGGCTCCTCCTGTACTTTTAAGAGTTGTGTTCAAGGGAGAATTCCCTCTTGAGCGCAACTATTAAAGTGGTGGAAGTTCTGTTGTCTTTTATATTTGGACAGCTTTGCTGGATCAAGAGTTTTCCTCTTCATCCCTTTCCATTATGCATGATAAGTTTGATTGTGTCAGAGGGCAAAGGATGTTCTGTAAACTGCTGAAGGAAAGCAAGATGGCAGGAGAGACCTTTGGACCACTTCGTCCAGCATTAACTAAAGCAGAAAAGTTGCAGTCACGTCCTCATTTTTAGAGCTTTGTACCTTTTTATAGCAAGAGTTTTCACGTATCACAAGATCTGGAAGAAACCTGGCAAGCAGGGGGCATAAGAATGCATTCAGTCACCAGCCTTTACCTACCTTTTCCTCAAAGACCATTCCCCTACAAAGAATGAAGGTTTACATTTATTTATTTATTTATTTATTTATTTATTTATAACCTGCTTTTCCCCATGTCTGGGGCTCAGATAACACCTGAATCATCATATAATATATCCCCCGAATCTGTGGAGAATACATTCCTAGATTTTGCTTGGACATGTGAAATCACAGATAATAGTGGTTGACCCTATTAAAGTAGAGGGCCCCTAGGCTGAGAATGCCATAGATTCATGCTGAGGACCTAGAAAATATGTAGAAATTACATGTTTCTTGATACTGATAAATTAAACCATGGATACTGGCAGTCATACTATATGTTCAACAAAAAATAAATAAATCTAAAACTAAAGCAATGCAGGAAAGTTGCTTCCTTGGACTACAGCTCCCAGAAACCCACAGCTAGAATAGACTAGTAGAATTAGGACAGGAAACATCTGAGATCAAGACACATGGAGCTCTGAGGATTATTGTGTGAATTTGGGCCATTCGTTGTTTTTTGTCCAGTCTGGTTTCAGGTCTGTCTTCTATGTCAACCTCTTATGTTCTCCACCCCCCTGAACAGTGTCCATTGGTGGTTGGGGTGGGATGGAACCACATACAAAGCGATTAGGTACTTCTGGACGTTGGGGGATAAAATTATAATACATAATATGAATAAAACAGGAAGTGGAGAAAGGATATGCTTTTAATATGGATGTATGTGTATGTTAAATGAAAGCAATACTGCATGAAGTCTACTGCTACCCTGATTTTTGTCCCTGATGGAAAGGTTCCTGGCGTTTAACTTGAACACAAAGGTTGGGAAATTTTGGAGCATTTGCAGACAAATCCTTGTCTAAGCAATCAAAATTCAATAAGCTCAAACTTGCGTACTCAAGTTTTTTTTAAAAAAATGCAGAGATTAGAATTTATTAGAGTCAATTTTTTCATGCATAGTATTTTGAACAACAGTTTAAAATACTGTATTTTAATAATTAAATATCAATGCTGTCCGAATAGCACAGTGTTTCTCAACATGGGGGTTGGGACCCCTGGGAGGGGGGGTTTGCCAAAGACCATTCGAAAAAAACTGTATTTTCTGTTGGTCATGGTGGTTCTGTGTGGGAAGTTTGGCCCAATTCTATCATTGATGGAGTTCAGCATGCTCTTTGATTGTAGGTGAACTATAAATCCTAACAACTACAACTCCAAAATGTCAGTCTATTTTCCCCAAACTCCACCAGTGTTCACATTTGTGCATATTGAGTATTTGTGCCAAGTTTGGTTTATATCCATCATTGTTTGAGTCCACAGTGCTCTCTGGATGTAGGTGAACTATGACTCCCAAACTCAAGGTCAATGCCCACCAAACCCTTCCAATATTTTCTGTTGTTCATGGGAGTTCTGTGTACCAGGTTTCATAGAACCATAGAATCAAAGAGTTGGAAGAAACCTCATGGGCCATCCAGTCCAACCCCCTGCCAAGAAGCAGGAATATTGTGCCAAGTTTGGTTCAATTCCATCATTGATGGAGTTCAGAATGCTCTTTGATTGTAGGTGAACTATAAATCCCAGCAACTACAACTCCCAAATGACAAAATCAATCCCTCCCAACCCCACCAGTATTCAAATTTGGGCGTATCGGGTATTTGTGCCAAATTTGGTCCAGTGAATGAAAATATATCCTCCATATTGGATATTTACATTATGATTCATTAACAGTAGCAAAATGACAGTTATGAAGGAGCAACAAAAATTATGTTATGGTTGGGGGTCACCACAACATGAGGAACTGTATTAAGGGATTGTGGCTTTAGGAAGGTTGAGAAACACTGGAATAGCATCTATTTTCACATTTTTAAAAACCTTGTTACTATGGCAATTTAATTGTGAAGTGGGTTGGCCCCTTTTGACTATTTTTGAAGTGATTTTTGGCAAATTTTAATGCCAGTACTCATTTTAATTTATTTTTAATGTGGAAGTCACATATTCATAACATGTTACAGTATAAGTCATAACATGATTAATTTATGTAAAAATGTGTTTCACCTTTTGTATCAAGACAGAGTGTTGACTATAATGCATTTTTAAAACATTCTAATGTCATCTTGAATCCCACGCTGGCCGAAAGGTGGGATAGAAACTAATTTAACCATTTACAATGTGACAATTAGCAATAATGAGTGAATGTCAATACTAACTTTTTCAAGCTTTGGATACAAATTGGACATTTTTATTTCAGTAACAGACTGAAATAAAGCCTGAGGGAACAGTGTCTCTGCTTTTGACAGGCGTGTTGAGCTAATCCTCTTTGGAACATCCTAACAATTAGTGACAGTTTGCAGCATTGGGGAAACTCAGCTTTATTGTTTTTTCGGGTGAGGCAAATGCTGGGTGTTTTTGTTCCAGGAAAACAGCATCATAACCGAAGGGTTGCACCACAATGTAACTAGGCTGGTCAGAAACTCATGCAAGAATCAGCCAATCTCACAGAGAATAATACGTTTGTCAAAAAGGCTCCTCTTACCGTAATGTATAAGAGGAAGGAGTTGCATTTGTAGAGAGTGCATTATTTCCTCATTCTACCTGCTGATTTTGTTGTCTGGTAGCATTTCCACAGCTGGCACTGTATACCGACACAGCCTAAATACATGCCATGCTTTAGACCAGTGCTTTCCAAAGTGGGTGGGATTGCACCTTGAGGGGCATTGGAATAATGTGTGTGTGTGTGGGTGGTGGTGGTGGTAGTAGCCTGGAATTTGGGGGTGTTGAATAAAAATAAGGGGGTGGTGGTAACATAAAGAAGAAAAAAATAAAAAATTGTCAGTACATGTTTCATCTATTGTGTAACAGAATTAAAGTTATAGTGATTGTTTTATTTTCCAAATGATCAAACAAAATGCAAGTTAATAACAAATGAATTATTAAATCCATGATCAGGTCTTCACAAGCGTTACCAGGGGAGCATGTTGTGCATTGTCAGGAAGCCCAGCATGCATTTGCAAGAATATATTGTTGACAATATGATATTATAAATAGGTGACATGTATGAAATCTAATTCTAATTCTGAAATGTATGACAAGCAGTTAATAATAACGCTATTGCAATACATATTAAAAAATTAATTCATGCTGCTGACAAAAATAGTTTTGGGAACCTCTGTTTCAGTTGACTTTCAACTGAGCTGTCTTTTTTAAGATAATCAAACCAAACCTGTCTTTTTATTACAAAACTAGATTGATGGTCAAACTGGGTGTTAAGGGTAGTGTTTATTCCCTGTGATTAACATGCTCTTCCTCCATTTAGGGGATTTTTCTCAGAGATATGTGCCTCAGTAATCTGACTTGCAAATCGGGTCTGTGGTAACCAACCACAAAACATGTGCAGGTGAGGGAAAGGATGCACTATGACATGTGCAGCTGAGGAAAAGGATGCACTATGTATGACAAACAGTAGTAGTTCAAGCACTGCACTATGACTCCGGCAATCAGGGTTCAATAACCTCCTCAGCCATGGAAATCCTTGGGTGACGTTGGGTTAGTCACATACTCTCAGCCCCAGAAAACACCAAATATAGGGTCACCTTAGGATCACCATAGTGGAGACATTATTTGAAGGTACACAACAACAACATAATGAAGAGAATGTATATATGGTGATTGGAGTCAGATCTTACTCTTAAGACTACAAACTTTTCAGACACTGCTACTCCTATTTAGACATTCATTAAGCACCAAAACTAAAGTTAACAGTCAGAAATATATATCTCTCTAGAGGGATAATAATTGACTTGTTTTTGTGAATACTGTATTACAACCGGTAGAGAACCTGGCTATCCTATTTGTATTAGGATTCACAAAACTTTTGTTTTAACTTTTTTCTTGACAGCTACAGGACCGCTTCAGCCTTGGATGAGAGGGACCATAGCAGTTACTGTCTTCCTGATTTTGGCGTTCATTGCCTTTATCATGAATAGGATATGGTGCCAAAATAAGCAGTAAGTGCTGACTTTCCTGACACTTCTCCATATAGATATAAAGGTATGATGGATGCGCTCATTTATAACATAGGCTGTTTCAGGTCCAAATTAGGTGTATGGTTAGAGTTTCTGCAGCTGAACTTTCATGGATTTTCAATATTGTTGTTGTTCATTCATTCAGTTGCTTCTGACTCTTCGTGACCTCATGGACCAGCCCACGCCAGAGCTCCCTGTCAGCTGTGGCCACCTCCAGCTCTTTCAAAATCAAGCCAGTCCCTTCAAGGATACCATCCATCCACCTTGCCCTTGATCGGCCCCTCTTCTTTTTTCTTCTTCCATTTTCCCCAGCATCATTGTCTTCTCCAAGCCTTCCTGTCTTCTCATTATGTGGCCAAAGTACTTCAACTTTGCCTCTAATATCCTTCTCTCCAGCGAGCAGTCAGGTTTTATTTCCTGGAGTATGGACTGGTTTGATCTGGATTTTCAGTGGATTTCATTATTTTAACATTTATAATCTATCTCATGTCTGAGGATCCTAGGGCATCACACTACACAATACATTTAGAACAGTTTGAACAAATAAGAATTATTTTAAAAGGCTCAAAGCAAGACAATTTGCTGAAAGCAAGACAAAGTGCTCAAAGGAAGACAACTAAAAATGAACTTAAAATTTAAAATAATGTAAACCATAGCAAACCACTATGATTTTCCACATGTAATTCACCTAAAACTCAATTTGCTGCAAGGGGGAGAAAATATTCTGCCCCACAACACAAAACAGCATACACACATCCATTTTATCTGTGTATGCTATTTATTTACTACATTTATATTCCACTTTTCTCTCAGTGAGGGAACTCAATGCGGTTTCCAACATAATAAAGGCAAAATTCAGTGCCATACATATTTGTGAAAATCAAAACATAATAGCTAGATAATAACATATACCTATAAATTAAAAACCTAACCATATTAAAACATAAAACATAAAATAAAATTTGGACATAAAACATAAAAATTAAAACATTGATAATACAATAACATTTATATTAAAACCCACTCATAAACAACATGATTTAAAAACAGTTATTAAAATCACACCATCCAAAATGTGTTTGGAATCAGCATTTTGACAAGATTTGATTTTCCATCCCCACAGTGGGATGGAAAACATAGAAAGTATGATCATACCTGGTTTGGCCTTCAGAATATAGCATTAGGGATTGAATCTATGCCATCTTCTCCTGTTGTATGTCAAGGTTATGCTGAATTTGCTTTCTGTGTCAATTGATTTCTCTGTCAATATTACAGGCAACAGATTCATAAATGGGAAAAAATCCTAACTATTGTCATCAAATAGAAGAAACTGGGAACACATCTTTAGTCCACATGTCTCCAGCATTTTCTGTGAATTTCTTTGGACAGTCATGATGTTAACCTGGAAGATCATTGATTGACAAACTAGGCTATTTTGAATGCGGACTCCAGAGAACAAGAGACTATAAAGGATAGCGGAACAAGGTCTCACACACTGTAGACAAATTATAAAAGATAGGGGATTATTTATTAGCAAATCCCACAAGCTGACACCACTTATAAAGTATTGTTAACCAAAATCCCAACCGCTGTACACCAAATTACAATGGAATGTGGCTTAGGTAATTATAAAACCAAAGCTGAATAAGCTGGAATGATCTTCTGGCCAGATAACCTTTTAAAGTACACCAGCTACCACCACAATTAAAATAAATGTTTAGCCCTTGGCTTGACTTGAGATATCTTTAGGCTAGAATGTGCTGGATTCACACTCAGGCTTTATACTCTGAGGTAACGATAAAGAGATTACTTTTAAAAATACACGCTGCCACCATTAGACTTTGATTTCTTCTATAAATTGTTTTATAACTTCTCACACAGAGGCACATGTGAGGCAGTTGTTGTGAACAAATAACAATGTTGTTTATTTGAGAGAACTTGAACAAAACAGGCATTAAGCTTAGCTGTTTCAATATTGAGTAAAGCGTATGGTTTCTTTTAACAGTTCAAAACTTAGTTGCAAATTACACTCCTCTCTCCCTCCAGAAACTACTGACAGGATTCCTCTCTGCCTAGTAACCCTAAACTCCACACAGACAGTCCTTACCTTCTGGGATCTGTCTCTCCACTCCACCAGCTATCCTTCCCAATAGCTGTAGTCTTCTCACTAACTAACTCTGCTGGCTAACTGACCAACTTCAGGCTTCACTAACTCTTCTCTTCTTCACACCAACCCCCTAACTCCTTCTTCTTTGACACACAGACCCTCACTGAGCTGTCATGTTTTTAAAAACACACCCTTAAAGTCATTTTTTTTCCTTTTCTCAAGTTAAGCTCCGCCCACTCTCTCCCAGCCAATCAAACTCCCCTCATTTCCCTCCAAGCTGCTCCTAAACACGCCCCCTTCAGGAAATGAGTTCTAAAATGGATGCCCCCAGCACCCTTCAAAATGGCTGCTGAACTTCCTGGGCCTACTTTCTGGCTTTTCCTGGCCTAACAGGTAGGAAATTCATCACAGAGTCCTTATGAATAGGTTGGATGTAAAAGTGCATTCTGCTGCTGGAATGGCTTTTGTTATTAGAACAAAATGAATTCACTCTTCTGAAACCTCTGACCCTTTAAATATCCAGAAGTGCTGGCCATGAAGTATGGAGTTGTAGTTACTAAAAAGTATATTTCCAAGTTTTCTCAAAATTTGCTCCAGATCTCTAGAAAGCTCAATAGTGGTGGACAAGCTTCTTTGCAAGGAGGAGTAACTGATGGACGTCTCATAATAGATTTCTTAGGAATTCTAGGGCTCCCTGGAACCCAGTTCAAAAATCTCTGATCTGTTTGTTCAGTCATTTCCTTCTGTCAATATTGGCCAGAATTGTTAATTACTATCTTTACGCTTAACTATGTAGCAAAGCTGCCAAAGAATTATTGAATTGTGAAGGTGCATAACCAGATCCTGGATTGAACTTTAGTGATGTGCATCAACACTACCCAGTGTTGAATTAGTTCCCTTGTACATTGGTTCTGATAGACAAAGGTCACTTCGCTAGCTTCCCTAAATATTAACAGCTGCTTTTTGAGTACAGATATGAAACTGCTCAATTCTATTTCCCTCAAACTTAAGTCCTTAAGTGAATTCCAGCCATGGTATATCATAAGATGATTATTTTTCATCTTATGATATTTTTCATCTTACAACTACTAAAATTTATGAGAAATTGTGGGTATGTCTCATAATCATGCTATTGGATGAGCTCCCTCTATCAAATCCAGCTCCTCATGCGAGGACATGAGAGAAGCCTCCCACAAGGATGATAAAAAAACATCAAATCATCCAGGCATCCCCTGGGCAACGTCCTTGCAGACGGCCAATTCTCTCACACCAAAAGTGACTTGCAGTTTCTCAAGTCGCTCCTGACATGACAAAAAATGTGTAAAATTACCTTCTTGAACATGTGAAACAAAGTCTTTCCTTTACCTATGCCCCACCAATTTGCCCTTATTTCAGACCTTTAACCAATTGCATCTGTTCTTGGGAGTCACATTGGAAATGACCTGGAACTTGGAAGGCAGACATTTTGATGGCTGTGGCTCCCTATATGTATAACGCTTTTTCCAGGAAGGTGTGCCTAATACCATATTAATTGGCATTTCGCTGTCAAATACTTTTCTATGTTCCAGACTTTTAAATCTTACAAGCTGGAATATTGAGTTTTTGTGTTGATTATCTTATACTCTACTTCCATTGCTTTCCCAAAAATTGTAGGCCCATTATTTTTTTTCCATTGTTCTTTAGTGTTCAGGAGAACGTAATCCCTGATTCAGTTCATAAACTGTCACTGCTGTTCATTTACAATATGTGATTTTGTTTATGACTGTTTTCTGTGAATATTTGTGGCTCTTGACATTGTAGTGTCCAAAAACTCAATAACACTCAGATCCTGCTGATATGTTTCTGATGTGTGCATTTCAGCTGTATGTGTGTATGTATACACACACATATACATACACACACATCCTGTTTGTCTCTTAATGCTTCTTCTGTTTTTTCAGTGATTCCTCAGAGAGGAGAAACATGGGAGTCAACAAAGAAGAGGCAGTTATTTCCAATGGAACAGAAGGAAGGTATTCAGCAACTGCATCAAATTTTAGGTTTGTATTATTGAATAAATTATAATAAAATACATGTCTTCCTATTGGTGGCTTCCACTGTGTTCAATGAGGCTCACAACCAAGATTGCAGTCCAAGCCTCACGGAAACCGCAAATAATGCAAAGAGATCTTGTAACAGCTTTCAAGCTATAAAGAAGTTGGTAGCTCAAGCTTTTGTAGCCTTAAGTCTACTTTGTGAAATGCATCTGATGAAGTTGGGCCCCCAGTGGCACCATGGGTTAAACCCATGTGCTAGCAGGACTGCTGACTGATACGTCAGCAGTTCAAATCTGCGGAGAGTGGGTTGACCTCTCTCTGTCAGCTCCAGCTCCCCATGTGGGGACATGTGAGAAGCCTCCCACAGGATGGTAAAAACATAAAACATCCGGGCGTCCCTTGGGCAACATGGCAGATGGCCAATTCTCTTACACCAGAAGCAACTTGCAGTTTTTCAAGTCGCTCCTGACATGAAAAAAAAATCAGATGAAGTAGATCTAAGCCTACAAAGCTTATGCTCTCAAAATCTTTCTCCCAGTTCCTTTAGCCTCCCATTGCATATTGTATCAGATTAATATTATTATGACTTTTTAAGTCCTGCAAATAATAATGTATTTGATGGGCAGGTTTATAACTTGGGGACTGCCTGTATTTGTGCATTAGAGTGAAATACAATGTAATAAAACATTTGCTATTCTCTACTCCAATTTTTCAGGTGTGAAGAAGGCCCACATGTCTATGAAAATGAAGTTGAGCTTGAGTGTGAGAACCCAGCTGCACATCATGGTGGAAAAAACCTTGAAGTTCTTACCACTTGCATGTAATTTCACCATCCCTGGGTATCACTCATCTCTCAATCTTTTTTTTTTTTAAAAAAAATCATAATATAGACTCCATGATGAGATCGACTTTGCATATAGTTACTAGAGATTGGCTGCTGAATAACTTCATTTAAAAATCCATCCCTTACTATGATAAAAATGTTCACTGTGGAATTCCTTTTTGTTTTGAGCTGATTTCCAAGCATAGCTGCACATATTTTCTGAACAAAAATGCTGTTTTTTAAAAAATCACTTCCTCCATTGGATGAGGTAGGGAGGAAGTGGGGCAATGCGGGGCATGGGGCAATTAGTTCCCCATACCTCACGCCAGACACCACCAGATTTGCCACGCTGCATGGTGATTCCGGTGGCCCATAGCCACCTGACATATTCCAGGTCAATATTTCGAATTTCTCAGTTAGGGACAACTCTTCACGATAAGAGTTTTCTCTCTGATCAAGGAAACAGATACACAGGAACTGTTAATAGGCATCATTAGCCGGGGCTATGGGCAATGATGAAAGCATGGTGAACTTCCATCCATTTCAAATTATATTTAATGGAACCTTGAGGTTCATCAACTGGAACCAAGTAGAAAACCATGGCATGAGAGGCGGGCCTATGAGCATATGCTCAGTTGAGGAATTTGTTTGAGTTCTAGAACTAAGCTCTCATACAAATCCATTCTGTCACAGCAAACTTCTTTGCAAATGCAACCTAATTTAGAAGGGGGCAAGACTTTCTGTTGCTAAACAATTGAGAATCAGAAGATTGCAGTTTTTTTAAATCACCCAGAGATCTACCAGTAGACACAACCAGTGCGGTTGGATCACGGCAATGACAGATCTGCTGCAAGGATTTGTAAGCCACTGTGAATCAGATATGCAGTCCTT